TACTACAATGCATTACAGTTATCTTGTTATTTAGTCAAATTTCAGCTTTGTTGTTTTTATTCTTGCAATGTACTGTACTGTACTGTAATTTCATAAATACACTGTACAAAATTATAGCGTATTAATATTTGTGTTATTGCCTATAGTTTGACCCTATTGTGTGTGTCTATGTACTGTGTCACTGTGATACATAATTATGTACATGTTTTGAGTTAAACAAATTGTTTAATAAATTTTTGCTGAAGTATGATGCCTGTTTGTATCTAGTTGTGGATAGATTTTTACATGCATATATGTGCATACAGTAGTTATATATTTTTCAATTTTCATCTGTAAATAATATTGCCATACTTGTGTGTTGTTCTAATATTACTGTGAATAGTGACATACTTTTGCATTAGATTGCTAATTTTAGAGATTACAGTGTATGTATAAAATAATAAAATAAAATTTTTCTTGTTATGATTTTGTAGAAAGAGATCTATTTGAGTGGTTGGCTGGTCTTGAACCTGGTCAGATAATGAAGGTGATGGGGTAGAAAGTTGTAATGGTGATAGGGCAGAAAGTGGTGACCAGTTAAGTGATGAGGATGAAAGTGACGAGGACAAAATCAACCATGCTGTACCATTCAAGATTTCAAGTGCATCGGTGCTGCTCATGAGAAAAACTACCAACATCATTTTGGAACAGGCATACCTTGCTCTTCATTGGCCAGAGCAATTGAATCCAACAGACTCAAGTGCAATTGATCTAGACCATGGAACCGGATGGACACATGTTGGTTATATTGCTTCTGAACTATGCGAGCATTTACACCCATTAATTGCAGCAGGAGATATCTTAGAGGTCTATGTTCAGCATATTAAGTATAGGGTTGAGTTTTTTAAAATAGGATTTTATCCAGACTCAAGTGGCCGGTAAGGAAGAGCATGAGTGTACGTTGACAGATGTTTGTGATATAATAGCAACTGACTAGGTTTAGCAAGTTATAGAAATGCTGTTATTTCAATTGGCTAACTTTTTAGATTTTTTTCAGCATTTTTAAATTAAACAAAAACTAGGTTAATCACAAGTGGGTGCAATTAAAACAATGTTTGTCATGCACACTCATGCAATTAAGTACATAATTGTAACATGTGCTGTACTAAATGAACAAATAAATAGTTTGTACATTCACTTTACCAACTTTGTGAGTAAATTTTCATTAAAATTAATGCAACAATAAAACAAAAATATGTCTATTTATATACAATAATATTGATCAATGGTCCCACAATAACATGCTGCTGATACTTTAATTAAGGTACATTATATGAGAATACAAAAATAACCTGCATATAATGCACCTATCAATGTTAACTCCCAAAGGGGGGGGGGGGCATATGTGGGGTATTTGATCATTAATTGCATATCCACCCCAGGGATTTTGATTAGTCATAGTTAACTATGGATTAGCATTTGGGCCAAGTTAGGGCAATTTGAATCAAAATTACTTTTATTAATATAGTATTTATTGCAATTTATTGCAAAATGGTAGGGTATTTGACCAATATTTATTGCCCAACAGTGGGGCATTTGACCCCCCTCTCTGGGGCTTAACATTGATAGGTGCATAAGAACCACCATTTCTCAAACTTTATCTGAATTAGTTGTGTAACAGCATTTATACAAAATACTGTTAAAAAAGGCCAAGTGGGCCTTCACTGCTATAAAGGGCATTCTATCCAATGGCATTATAGGACCAATATTTCCATGGCGTTGTTCTCCAAAGCATCGAGCAGCGTTATAAATCAGATTGTCTTTTTTACCAGCATGAAGTACAGACATAGCCTTTGCAACAATTGGGATGAGGGACAAATTTAGCATCTAAACCAAGAGCATCTAAACCAGCATCTTTACCAGCCATTTTTGAAACGGGTGGATGAGTAGCTGTTCTTGTTGTCACTGCATGGGTTAGTTTTGAAAATCCAGAAGTTATGTCAACTCATCATATCATATCAGTAACATTACCAGAGAAGTGAACAAGTTTAGAACTCCAAATTTAATGATGATGCTTAATCTTGCAGACGAAATCATTGACAAAAATAGAATCCTCTAGCCAAAATCACAAATCTATAAAAACATCAGCCAAACAATGAACTTCACCAATAAAATCTTGTTACAGAAGTGCTTTAATTTTTTACATACTTTAACCAATATATATAAATCCATAATATATCGAAACTTCTGTAGTATATCAAATTTCTTTAGAAAAAAGCTAATAATAGCAGTTCATTATCGATCTGAGTGACAAGGCAGCATATTTTACAAAGGGCTATATTCAACGGTGAATATCTCGAAAACGGTTGAGAGGCCGAGGGGGGCCGGCTGGATAGAATTAAAGATTATACTTTTATTTAACTAATCGTGAAAAAAATAGCGAAATCGAACCATCGAGATTTGAGAATTTTGTCTTCAAAGATTGTTGACAGAAACGCCATTAAATTACATCGCGACGTCATAGCACCTAAGTGAGAGGTCAAAATAAACTGGAAAATGACGCTTACCTTTTAAGATACCGTTCCAATGGGTAGATTGACTGTTGTAAAAGTAGTATCGCGTGAAATTTCCCGAAAAAATTGCATAACAATATGAAAAAAATCGATATTTATGAACCCTATATAAATTTTCGATGCCAAAAGCTTCGTGCGAGCATGAGGAAAATGGCGCAATCTGATTGGTCGAGATGTTCGCCTAATTGGCTGTCCAACCTCCTCTGAGCCTGAACCAGGGCCACTGTGAGGGCCGACCGAGCTTGGGCCTGGGGGCGAGGATGTCAATTTTCTCGAACAATATAAACTAGCCCTACCTTTTACATCCTCGGTCCCAGGGCCTCACGGCTGACACTGCGTTGCTGGAGGCCCTGGCGAAAACCAAAACCGGAACTTCAAAAATCTTGTAGTTTGCCGGAAGTAAACGTAATAAAATGCTGACTCTGCATCTTTTTTTGCAATGAGTGAACTTTGAGAATTTCTCGAAAGAAATAATTTTTACAAGCAAGATAAACATTAATTTGATCTGGTTATTTCACCATTATTTAGTTTTAATGATTGACCAAATCAGTAAACTAAAGGATCATGTAAATGTTTCAATTATGAAAGCTGTTCAAGTTGATGAATCGAAGGATACAATGGGTCATTCCATTTATTATCCGCACCCCCCCTATGGATGAGCGGATTCCTACCGGTCAGATATTAGGACTTAGGGGATTCCTACTGGTCAGATATTGGGAATTAACAGATTCCTTTGGCCCGATTCCTACCGGTCAGATATTGCCGTCAAGGTGTAGCATACTATATTGCCAAATATTTATTATGAGAATCATAATAATTTCATTTATTATTCTCACCCCCCCCCCGGTCTGACATTGGGAATTAGCAGATTCCTACCGGTGAGATATTGGCAATTAGCAGATTCCTACCAGTGAGATATTGGCAATTAGCAGCATTCCTAGGGTTTAGATTGATACTGTCGATTCCAACAGGGTACTTCTCTGAAATCCGATTCCTACAGATAACATTTTTACCAGAGCTCATCCATAGGGGGGGTGCGGATAATAAATGGAATGACCCAATGTGTAGTTTGGGAGAGTCATTGTATACGGACAGCAATCAATTGGAGAACATGAAAGTTTTTGAATTTTTATTATAATCGACGAAATATACAGACAATTTAAAAGCGATAGTTGTGGACGAAGCCCAATCTTGTTACTGAATGGTGAGTGAGTGATACTGATATATTTGGTTGTTTCTCAATATTCTTTCTTTGCTATATTAATGGTTATCTGCAAGACTGTACACATACAGACAACATATATTCTGTTTAATACGTCCGGTCTAAACGCTGCATTTTACATGTGCCAAGTCTAGAAAAGTTTGTTCAACCTTTTAAGTGCTACCAAATTATTTTACTCAGTTTAACATGCCAGATGATTGAGTGTACTGGCCAGTGTGAGAGTGCTACTGCTCAATGGGTTAATCAGATTATCTATTGTACTTTACTATCTTACTGTCTAATGTCAGACAATTTTGCTCATCAAGGGGAGAGTGGGTATAATTGCAAAGTAATTACTTTGCCACTTTGGACAAATGTATAAGTTACATATGTTTACTACGCACCGGTATGTACATAAATTCAACATTTAAATCAAAATGTCAAACTTTATTATTTGAGTCAAACTTTATTATTTGAGTCAAACCATGTAAATTCACATTAGACTTGGCACATGTAAATGCAAATATTATGTGCATCCCCCTCGCCCCTACACCCCCCCCCCTCGCCCCTCCCCCACCTTAATCTTGGTATCCCCAGATAACGATTGTTTGTAGGATATACAACTACCTGTAAGGTATCATGTGTGACTGCATACTACAAGCTAGTATCATATTGTACAGTTTAATACATATATATGACTTGAAATATGTATTTTCTTGCCATGCCATATTCAATCATAAAATTATCCATGTTGCTGTTAAATTATGATTGGCCTAAAATTTTTGGCTAAAGATTGTTTTAATTTATAAACATTGTACTACTACTTTAGGAAGGATTTCAGGCCTTGCTATGAAAGGATTGGTATGTCGGGAAGTTTGTTTCTTCATCAACTCAGAGAAAGAAATTGCATGAACTCAGAGAAAGAAATTTCATCAACTCAGAGAAAGAGAGAAATTACATGAACAAAATAAACAATTTTGTGTCATTGATATAAATAATGATTTATTCTTACAATTTCCTCTATGAAAATTTGGTGTGTTAATAAAGATTCTGTAAAAAATAAATAACAGCTTTATGGTGCATCCATGCTGTGCTTTAATATTGCAGTGGTGTAGGAAATGGAGGTGTGTGGGTACCAGTGTGCTTGTGTGTGGAGGCCGGATGCTCAGGAGTTCCCCGACAAGGAATATCAAGTCCCCGACAAGGAATATCAGGTTCCCTGACAAGGAATATCAGGTTCCCAACAGGGGGCTATAATCTTTCAAACAGTAAAATTATTGTTTTGTATGTTCAACTTATGCTCACACATGAAAATGTTGAATTTTTTGGCTCTCATGAAATGGTGCAGAATTTATTGTCTGTAACAGTGCACTTACCAGGACTACAAAACAAGGTCATTACAAAACATAATTTTTCCCAGTGCATTCCACTTCCCTGATTGGGGAGGGGCTAGAATTTCCACACAGGGGAGCTACAGCGCCCCCCCATACCTGATCCTTGCTCTGCCTTGCCCAATTTTTCTTCAAAAATTTACAAATTATAAATTTGGTGCTGTTGACATGAAGTGCTCCTCAATTTTAAATTTCAAAACTTTCCTCCTGTGCCTATGGTGACTAATTAAACCTTGAAATCTAGCACTATAATTTATAAAAATTATGTCAACTGCATGTAAGAGATTCAGAAGTTAGCTTCCCAGTTAGTTTCCCAGTTTCATTACTTAATACTGAATGTATGTATACAGCATAAAATTGGGAGGCTCATCACCAGTGTAGCAAAGTTGCAGTAATACTATTAACAATATAATTTGTCAACTGTAAAAAAACATTGATAGCCTATAAATTAAGCTATATATTGCATGAAATTTAAGGCAAAACAAGGTGGAAGAACTAACATTTCCAGCTATTATATTAATCACTTTGTCATTATTAAATAGTATTAAAATACAATATTTCATTATTAAATACATTTGATATAAAATACAATATTTTTACATAAATTTAGAGCCTTTGATGAAATTGATATAAAATCAATAAAGTATGTCTATTAAATATAGTATATTATAAAATAATATATATTTTATAATATACTATATTTAATATAATATTATGTATGGCATGGACCCCTCTTGCTTTAAAAACCACACAGACACTCATTCACGATTTTCTCATTTGTAATTGAAAGATGCAAGACATCACTCACAATTTTTGTAGATTTGTACAATTAACGGTACAGTCTTTCTCGCATAGCCTTTCGCCTGTCTTTGTTTATACTCTGTATATAATTAAATCTCGTAAAGAAAACTATAAAATATCCCTTCGGCTTCGGCGATTTCAATCTTTAAATAATCCAGTGTCCAATTTTGTGCAGCTTTTTAATACATTGTGACACAACATCCAACATTTTTTATATTAACAATAAAATTTCCATTGATAGACAGCAGATTTCAACGACCAAAACGACTTTTCGTCTTCTTTGAAGAGTTAATACCATTAATACACTCCTATCTACTCCTATTGTCAGCCATATTTATTAGTAAAAGTTCGTGTTCAATTTCCGCATTCCATTGTTTTCATGCGACCAATCAAATCACTTCTCGTTTTGGTTTTCGCCAGGGCCTCCGGCAACGCAGTGTCAGCCGTGAGGCCCTGGGACCGAGGATGTACCTTTTACCGAACATAACTTCGGTCCCTTCGGACATATCCTTTTCGTGATAGTCTTGTTCTAATTGGCATCCAATACACAATTTATAAAGTGTTATTTCAAGACGTCTTCTGAAATTATGTAAGGCCATGACTTACTCAGTTACGTTAGAAGAAATGCGGCTGTTAGCAATATGAGACGAAGTCCCCGAGCGGTTTACGATTATTTCATTTCTTGCGCAATCAAAATACAGCCACAGTATCAGAGGGTATCCGACGTCATAGATACACATCCTTTGATTGGCTGGATACCCTCCAAGGTATCCAAATACCTCATTAAGTTACTATTTTTAGTAACATTTGAACCGCGGTTCGTATCAGAACACCGCAGACGCATTAAAAACACTTTCCCGATCGGGTTACGTAACCTCGGGTTATGCCTTCGGAAAGCTCTCGGATCATCTTCGTCGAAAGTCATTCAATGCTTTAAAAACACGTCTTTTGTTACATTTAGAACTGTGAATTTTAAAATTTACGAATTAATTTGCCCTCGTTCATCTTAGTAAACTCAAATTTTCACTATTTTTGTAAACAGAAATGAATTGCGTGAAAATATATTAATGGTGAATTTTTTCCCAAAACTATTTTAGTATCCATAATCGGAATAATCTGACCGTATCTTGAGCTACACTCGATACCCCCTGGATCCGCCCCTGGAAACAATCAATTTATACTCACCGCTTCGCCAAACATTCAAACGAGAAAAAAAGAAAACTAAACTTTTCGTCATTTTCTGAATGGCTATATGTGTAAAATACTCTTTGTATTCAAGTGCTTTCGTGTAAAAAGTTTCGTATGTATACGCCGACTAGAAATATTTATTTTGAATTTTTAAAGTGTAGGGTTTTACTCGCACGCGCTTGTATTACGTAATACTTGGCCAATGAGAAGCTCCCTTTAGCCGGGATGACTTCAAATTCACGCGTATGGGTGCACTTTGACCTGTAGAATCCATTTCTAGCATTTCCAGAGTCACGTGATACAAACTTCGCGTTGTTTTGACGGTTTTTCCTAGTATTTCCGGTTGGGAAAAACGCAAATTCGGAGCAGAAATGCAAAATTCGGCACTAAATTAAAGTCACTTTAAAGATAGAAGCTTGAAAATAACACTATACATGTTATTTTTAACTGCTTAATTCATCAAGAATATCAGAATTAGCATACGTTTTAATGGGCCGAAGTTATATTCGGCGAAAGGTATGTTTATGTTTAAAATTTGTTAGTAATATTGCGTAATTTGATCATATACGAGCTCGTTTGACTTTCAAAGCTCATAAATCGCTATAATGTTGCCATTCACTAAATATATCGATAGGAATGAGTAGCTATCGTTACACTGAATCGAATGGTGGTATTTTGGTACAGGTAGCATTTATCGAACTGAAGATATGAACCGCAAAGTGAGTAAATCATGAGTGATTTACAATACACTAATAGGAATATGTCGAGAAAGAGATTATTAAAGCTTTTAGATTTTGTGTGCAAGCCATTTTTATTTTGCTTGAAAAAGACGCACGCCTCTGGTTCACAAAATTTGAGTTCGAGAAATTTTTTCATTATTCTACATAATAAGTACCCATAGAAGCTATGCACATCAAGAAACTGGGTAACAATAGCTGTTTTGCGAAATTGAGAGCAAATTCATATCAGTTCAGGTTTTTTTATGTTTTTTTTTACCCTGTTTAAGTGCGCTGAAATAACATTACCCTGCCAAATTTATCCTGAGTTTATTTACCAATAGGCATGTTCATTCCCAGCGGAGAGTCTACAGTTGCAATTTTCACAACTGATCCCAATATATAATCTGAAATATAAAAAAACAATATTGTAAAATGTCGCGTCGTGGGCCACCAAGACACACGAGCATGTCAAGCTTCTATTTAAGCAGCCCTTAGGATAATATTCAGCGAGCGATTAATTGGTAGCGCTGATCACTTCTAGAAGTGAAACTTTTGCTCAGGCAATTGTTATTGTTGGTTAATATTTCACAATCCTTACAATAGGTGAACCAGGGGAAATCGTAATCTTAAGATGAATATTAATGCCCAGCATAAAATACGTAAAAGAGCCATATTTCTACTCTGATCCATTCTTCTTTCTACTTTTGTAATATAATATATTGTAAATAGTTGTAATTTATTCATATTTCTGTGTTTTCTGCTTTGTATGTCATTGCTCTGAAGATGTCTGAAGTTAAACGTTAGCTTTCTAATAAATATTTTAAACAATATTTTTCTTATGGCCCTTTTAGGTAGTTTATGCTGGGCATTAATATTTATCTCAATATTTCACAAAGTGAATTTCTATCCAGACGACATTATCTGATCACACACATGTTTCCATTGAGTTTATTCTGCAAGAGTGCAAGTTTGAATCATGTCGTAATAGAAACATTGGGAGAAAATTTATGACAACTTTGAAATACTTTTAAAATTACTACAGCAATGCATGACTTCAAAAATTAAACATTCTAAATTTCACACAGTCGTATTATTTTTCTTAGTAATAAAACGATCAACATCTTGCATGAACAATCCTTCTTCACTTTAATTTTATTGTTTATTATTTAAATTAAGGATGTCCATCTGGTTTACGAAATAGTTATCTTATTGAGCGTTTCATCCCATAGGCTATATTTTTTAGTTTTGTCTTAAAGTGTTAATGAGTGTAAGTAGTTATTCACCGAAATGCAAATTGCAATTCATTTTTATGCGTTAAAAATTAATAGCGACACTTTGTTTCTGGTGTCTTCAAAATTATGTGACCGGTTATTTATGAAAATATAATACAAGTGACGCTGACTTAATGGATTATTGACATGTGTTTTGTTTCACTCTTTCGAAAAGATATTTCTTAGGTTGCATCATTGCAATCAACCAATCCCAAAACTCAGTTTGACTTCCATATAGGTACATTGGCGACAAGTCCAGAACGTCCATTAAATTTGGGCATGAAAACTAACCAACTGTATTAGCGTATTAGGCATAATTTTAAATTATTAGTAACTATACAGTAGACATGCACCGTTAGACGTATTGCAGGTTTTGTGGAAATAGATCTTGAAACTCTGCATGTACTCACGTATAAACAAAGTAATATCATCAATTTGTCTTGCCTTATCCGTTTTAGTAGCGCCCTTTAAATTATATTCTAAATTAACTCGCGCTCCATTTTTTATTCATTTACCGGCTAATCTGCTTCAACAAATTGTCTCCATGCAAAATTCTTCAACTAATATAAGCAGTATGTATACATGAGGCGTTATAGGCGACAAATTGAAATTCCATCTATACGAATTGA